GACATACCAAATCTCTCCAACATGTATTCAATAATTCTGAAAACCAAATAATAAGCACAGGTCTGGAGCTAGTTAAATCATGCATGCACTGCAGCGCAGGGAGGTTATTTTAGAGGGCGTATGCCGCTGAAATGATGAAGGATGAAGGATATAGCGCACGGCCTCCGAAACAGCAGGTTGTTCTGTAACAAACAAGCTCCAAACATTTCCTTCTCAGGCGTGGCGCACTCACCTACCCACTGCTCCTGCTTCTCCAATGCAGATGAAGCGCTGCAGCACCGCACGCGTATGTATTTATACCGTGCGCTGATGTTGACAGTGTGATTCACTCGCCGAGTATGCTCGGAGGTTTCAGACTTTTCTGGAAGTTGTGTAATTCACGATCACGGCAGGGAGATTAACCCATATTCGGCCTGAAGTGGGCAATGTTGCTCTGTGAAAAAGCGTCGTCCCGCCCATTTCTGCCGAAGCAACTAACGTGGGGATAATGCTGCTGCGATTTAGGAACGTCCATTTTCTGTAGAGCCAGTTGGGAATATTTTGCGAAATTACGTATTTTATATTGGCTTATGACTGCAATATAATGTTGGCTCACTGGTTTTAGCATGATGTATGACAAATAGTGGGGAATTCTTTCAATAGCCTTTAAATATGAGAGGCTTGCAGTTTTAAGGCGTCGGGCAGGGTGCCATCCTCTGCGACAGGCGCGCGCACACACACACACACACACACACATACAGCTGTTGACCGATGATTATGAAATAGTGATTTAATAAACCCTCAGATCACAGACTGTTACATCTCTCTGTGGTCCAGGCTCCCCACTCTTAGCAGTTTTAAATGCATTATGTTACGCAATTCTTATTTTTCGCAAAAAATGACATGGAAATTTGGATTAAGAATCACTCGCCCTATTCCTGTAAACACTTGGATTTCAAACTGCGCCGGCATTACGTTAAAGTACAACTGTCTGTCTACTGGTGCATGAGTAATGCTCTGAGTCAGACTTGGCTGTGTATCAGTGATATGTTATGGGTCAGTTGCTTTCACCATCTGGAGAGGAAAGCAGTATTTAGAATAATCACCATCACATCAGACCAGTTGAACTAATTACAGGTATATTGCCACTGAAAACATCTGTGAATTGGAGCACAATCAGTGATAAGCTCTCAACAAAGATAAAACAGTAAGGCCTCCATTTCCATGACATCTTCTTCGGAGGAGGCAAAAAAAAAAAAAAAAAAAACTAACAACCCATCCCATATTCACATTCGCATTGCGGTCTGCCCATTACTGGCGCCTGACAACATCACCCAAGATGAGTTTAGAAAAAAAAAAAAAAAAAAAAAAAAACTACTGATGTAACACTGCACTCAAGAGCAACTTTTCAACTTGGTTTGGGATGTTATTTCAACAAAATGACAGAATATGATAGTGTGCTCACTTCATTGCTCATGTCCAAGGATAGCAATATTGCAAATCTCCCTCAGAAAAATACATAACGTCGGAGTAGCAGGCAAATTAGAAAAAAGCTTGCATATTCTATACCCTCATGGAAATGGATCATACATGACATATGAGGAAATGCATCAAGTTATTGCAACAGTATGCTCTGCAGAACTGGGAAAAATAAAACTCATTCCCACTGTAAAATAACACATAATACATTTTACAAATACACTGTGAATAAACACATGAATCATTAAAGAAGTCCACTATCCACTAGATAGCACTATTTTCACTAATGGTTTTACATATTATTTATAATTTGTATGATTTATTTAGATCAACTACACGCAACATAAAAATACAGAATGTTCACAGTATATTGACTTTGTATCATGCATACCTCCAATTGTTATGTGGCATATGGCCACATACTTTACAGTCTATATGTCTTCTTGTTTAACAAGCTCAGTGAGGCTCAGAGCTGGGCTCCCAATTCTTCTGAATGTTAATGTACCTTGTGGAAGCATAGTCTTTCCCTGAAGTCTGCACTTTCATCCCACACCTGGCAGTATTTCCCGCTACTGCAAATAACCTGTCACGTGTATTGCCCACTAGGACATTCTTTTCTCCTTAGTCTAAACTTAAGGCAGGCTGATATATGCAGCGTGAAACATCAGTTTCTGTATGAGGGGGCCATATACAGTCAGGTCAAATTTACTGGCACCCTTGATAAAAATGAAAAAAGCCTTAATAAAAAAAAAGACAAGTTCCATTTGTTCATTGTTCAACATAAAGGAATACCATATAATTGCATTTCTATGCAATTGTTATCATGTTTTAGGGTTTCTTATGAAGTAATTAAAAATGAAATTTTTTTTCAATGATAATTTAAATGATAATTTAATTTTTAAATTATCAGCTTCCATAATAATTATAGTGAATGAAATCAAAGTGAAATTGTTCATATATTTTACACAAGTTAACCTCAGGCAAAGGTAACTATATTTGGTCATTCAATCATTTTCTGTTTCACTTGGGTATAAAAGGAGGAGGCTGTAAAGAAGTGTCAGTGTATCTCTTCTCCTCTGCAGCATCACTAAAGGGCCAAGGTCATCAAAATGCTGCCAGAGTGTTAAAACAATAAAACAATGTCTGGCAAAGATTTCACATTTGATCAAGGCATGGGATGATAATGACTGAGCTTTCAGAACACTTGAATACTTCATTTAAAAATATTACACTTTCAATGAATGTGTGTATATTTTCATCGTCACACTTCATGAGCTAAAGCATAATAAACTGCTGTGAGAACCAAGAGCAGTGTTTCTTCCCGTGCATTCTTCTGTGACTATGACCAAAAGTTATTTTTCTGACCAAAACAATAGCCCTGCAGCTGAGTGTAGCATTTTGAACAATAACATTTAAAGTGAATTAAGGAGGAACAGTAAATTACACGGGGGAGTTTCATGGCCCATTATGAACACTCCACGGTCATTTTCAGTTTCATGTACAGTGAGGTCCATAAATATTTGGTTAGTGTCAAAGTAATTGTTACTTTTATCAACCATGGCATATCATACTGGAGTTGAAATAAAAAAAATTATACAACCCCAATTCCGAAAAAAGGTGGGACGAGGTGTAAATTGTGAATAAATTCAAAATGCAATGACTCAGATCACATGAGACAATATGTTATTTACAATAGAACATAGTTAACATTTCAAATGTTGAAACTGAGACATTTTACATTTTTATCCACAAAAAGAGCATATTTAAAATTTTCTGGCCACAACAGGTCTCAAAAAAGTTGGGACACAGGCAGAAAAAGGTCTGAAAAAGCAATTAATATATAAGAGAATCAGCTGAAAGAACATTTAGCAAGTAATTAAGTTAACTGACATCAGGTGTGCAACATGATTGGCTATAAAAGGGATGTCTTTGAGAGGCTGAGTCTCTCAGAAGTAAAGATGGCCAGAGGCTCTCCAACCTGTGAAGGCTTGCGTAAAAAAATTGTGGAATACTTTAAAAACAATGTTCCTCAACGTCAAATTGCAAAGGCTTTGAAGGTTTCATCATCGACAGTGCATAACATCATAAAAAGATTCAGAGAAACTGGAAAAAGCTCTGTGCGTAAGGGACAAGGCCAAAGACCTTCACTGGATGCCCGTGATCTTCGGGCCCTCAGACGACACTGCACCACTCACCGGCATGATTCTGTCATTGACATTACTAAATGGGCCCAGGAATACTTCAAGAAACCACTGTCTGTAAAAACAGTCCGCCGTGCCATCCACAGATGCCACCTAAAACTCTATCATGCAAAAAGGAAGCCATTGTTGAGCATGATCCAGAAGCGCTGCCATGCTCTGTGGGCCAAAGCTCATTTAAAATGGACTGTAGCAAAGTGGCAAAGTGTCCTGTGGTCAGACAAGTCCAAATTTGACATTCTTGTTGGAAATCATGGGCGTTGTGTCCTCCGGGCTAAAGAGGAGAAAGACCACCCCTCCTGTTATCAGCGTTCAGTTCAAAAGCCAGCATCTCTGATGGTAGGGGGATGTATTAGTGCATATGGTGTAGGACACCTGCATGTTTTAAAAAGCACCATGCATGCTGAAAGGTATATCAAGATTTTAGAGCAACATATGCTCCCCTCCAGACGACATCTATTCCAGGGAAGGCCTTGTGTATTTCAGCAGGACAATGCAAAACCACATACTGCAGCTATTACAACAGCATGGCTTCGTAGTAGAAGAGTCCACGTGCTAAACTGGCTTGCCTGCAGTCCTGATCTTTCACAGATTGAGAACATTTGGCGCATAATTAAACGAAAAGTTCGTCAAAGGCGACCCAAACCTCTCCAGCAGCTGGAAGCCTGTATTAAACAAGAGTGGGATCAAATTCCAATGGCTAAACTCAAGAAACGTGTCTCCTCAATGCCCAGACGCCTCCACTCTGTGTTAAAAAGAAGAGGGGATGATACACCATGGTAAACAGGCCCCTGTCCCAACTTTTTTGACACCTGTAGCAGCCATCAAATTTGAAATGAGCTCATTTTGTGGATAAATATTGTAAAATTTCTCAGTTTCAACATCTGCTATGTTATCTCTCGTCTGTTGCAAATAAAATACTGGCTGATGTGATTTGAAAGTCATCGCGTTTTGATTTTATTCACAATTTACACTTTGTCCCAACTATTTCAGAATTGGGGTTGTAATTTGAGCATTATTTGCATGCTTTCAACATTAATTTCAGGGTATATAAACCCTAATCAATTAAACAGTGCACATATTTTCACTTATTTCTTTTTATATTTTGTCCATCACCCACCCCATTTTTTACGCAACCAACAGTAATTGGGCAATTGGCTGATCACCTGTTCCATGGCCAGGCATGTGTCATTTTTGTCTCTATTACACTTAGAAGTAAGAAGATAAAAGGTCCAAGATTCATTTCAAGGAAAATATCTTTTAACAATTGTGACAGTTGATGGGTCCTGTCATTAGAAATGCCTCCTAATAATTATGTGCCCTGGCTACCTTGCCAATGAGACTGGGTCTTTGGTGATGTGGTCAGCACGTGTGACTCTTACCCAGGAGTCTACGGTTCAAACCCCGCTTGGGCCCTCCTTCGGCCTGCCACATTCTGGTGTAATTGGCAGGATTCAGGGAATCCCAATGGATGGCAGCATGCGTAAAGCATGGAGCGTGAGGACACGCTCCTGAAAGAGGGGGAGACATGTGACAGTTGATGGGTCCTGTCACTAGAAATGCCTCCTAATAAGTACGTGCCCTGGCTACCTTGCCAACAAGACTGGCTCTTTGGCGATGTGGTCAGTGCCCGTGACTCTTACCTAAACTAAACTACCTGTTTCATAATCTTATTTGTATCATTGCTCTAAGATCATCATATAATCCATGTAAAGGAGTACCATATGTCAGGCAATAGAAACGTTATGCACTACATAGCGGTATCCCAAACTTTGAGAACCGAGCAATCATTGGGCTCTATCTGACCCCTGGTGCATAGTGGCGCTAAGAGTGACGCAAGTGTCTTTGCTAGTTTACGTATTGGTGCAGTTGTCATTATCCCTTCTAGCACCCAGTTTGCATTAATAGCAAATGTAATTGTGAGCGTCCACGGGTGGGTTGGTCTTAAAATGAGGTGTGGTCAGGTGCATTTATGGCGTGTTTTCATCTTTAGACTGCAAAAAGCAATCACGCAATCGACTTACAAAAACCTGGTCTAAAGTCAATGGTCAGTTTTTGACTGCTAATTTCAGGGCACAGAGTCAGATAGTATTATGCGTCTTTGTACATGAGTGCACAACGCACTTACACTCTGCTGGCAACATACTACATGTGCAGAGACAGGCAGCAGTGCCCGCTCATGCAAATGATCAAACATAAAAAGATTATGATGTTAACGATTATTGTCAAGCTATTTAAAAAATTCATGCTGGAATTGTTAATGCGATCGACATCCGCACATCAGAGTGTGCTATGATGCAGGCTATTTAATTTGCAAGTGAACCTGTTCCATCATGTAATTTACAATTCAACATGTGAGGTTATGCATGTAATTATTCACAAATGATTCTGTATAGAGCCACGACTCCTCGATGCTGGCAAGCTCTGTCATTTCTGCTGTTTTCCAGAAGATCCCTCCTGGAGGGGTGGCTGTTCAGGGACAATTGTTAGCGTATATATTAAATACATAGCATATCTTGTCTAAAGCAGTGCGTGGATTTTCGTTCCATCTCATGAAACACAAACTGTATCAGAAGAAATGTTTGAAGTTCTGAAAATGAGCTTCAGATCTTTGGATATGTTATGCATGGGATGACTCGTTATCAGCAATTATCTGAAAAATCAATTTTGAATCTGACCTGATTCATTAATACAGTGCCTGCAGCCCATCTATCCCGCTTCTATTACAAAACTCCACATTTAAATTTAAATGCCTTTATTATTATTTACCCTTTGGCGGACAAACATAGTGGCCTTAAAAAGTGGCCCTTTTAGTTGCAGCAAAAGCAATGGATGACGTTGTCTATGATTAGTCCAAATTTCTTCATTATATCTGACTTGACCTTCAAGCGTCAGCCAAGCTTACGCAAATTCTTTTCACTCCTATCAGTGATTATTCAAGGATTTACAGTAATTTAATTAAAATGACATTATTTTTGTCTCTTTCTAGCTGGCTATTTTTCTTACTCGTTTTCATTTATCTTGGTTGCTCCCTACCAACGCAAAATTATTCTTTGACCCCTGAATTAGTGTCTTTTTTTTGTTTGCTTGTTTTATGCACGAGTTGTAATGTAATGTAAGGTTCAACTGCAGCCCCAGGAACTCACTATAATGATTTTATAACATCTGGATATGAATAAAACAAATGTGAACAATATTTAAAAAATGTTTTTATTACATTTTTGGAGATCACTGGGTTCAGGTTTCCGTACTTTAGTAATGGTAAGCCCGTGCACTTCACAGACTCTTTCATCTGCAACACACAATCAACACTGAACATACAATCTTCCTTTTTGTGAACATAGAGAATGCAGAAAACTGATTGCAAACACCTGAGCTAGAGGCTGAACAAGTTCTCAGGTGATAATAATGAAAGGATAATCACTAGATGGCTCTACAAAAATGGACTAAAGTCTATTTCCTCATTCAGTCCTGGATATACTGTGGCTTTCATTTGGTATATTTGTATATGGAAGGTTTCTCTCTGCAGTAGAAGTTTCAGTTGATCACCACCACTGTTGTTTTTTTTAATGGTTTCCAGGCCTTCAACCATAAGGCTATCTGGATTGCTGTTATGTACTTGAAAAAGTGTTTTGCCATTGGATAATAGAAATCAGATGTTTTGATTGCATACTTATGTTCAGAGATTCGTTCTTTCAAGCATCTCTTTGTCCAACCTATATAGAAGCAACCTCAAGGACAGGATAGACGGTAGACAACAAAAGTAGTGTTACAATTAATTAACATTTTGATATCATAGACTTTATGAGTCTGAAAAGCAATAAATTGTTTACACTCCTTTATATTGGCACAATGGTTGCCACAGCCACATTTGTAGGTACCCATCAATGATTGGTGAAGCCAAGTTGTATTATTATTATTAGCAGGAAGATGACTGGGCACCAACCTGTCCCGTAGTGTAGAGGCCCTTCTGAAACTTATCTTAAGAGGGACAGGAAAAACTTCTGAGAGCAGCATCACTTTTAATGAGATTCCAATTAGAATGTATCATCCTGTTTTATGGAATTTGCCCGGGAACTGTATGTTGTGACAAAGGACACAAGCTCTTGTCCTAAAGATTTTGTTTTCTTTCTCTTAAGAAGCTTGGATCTAGGGACAGACTGGACTTTTGTGTAAGCATGTTGTTTTTTGTAACCTCTTTGTGCAAAACAATCCAACAAGATTGTAGCCTCATGGTCTGTGTCACAAATACGTCGACAGCGATGGAATTGACCCAAAGGTATGTTATCCTTCAGCCAATCAGGATGAAAGCTATCTGCTTTTAGTATAGTATTTTTGTCTGTTTTCTTCCTGTAAACCGTAGTGCGAAGCAGGCCATTCTCACCCTTAGAAATGGTCAAATCCAGATTGTTAATGCTTTGTTTAGAATACTCAATAGACAATTTGATATTTCTCGTACTAGTATTCAAGAAATAATGAAATAATAGAAGTTCCTCCTCAGAACCAGTCCAAAACAACAGAATGTTGTCAATGTAGTGCCCCCACCATTTTGTCTTGTCACTGAAATTATTTTGGTAAACAAAGTCTCTTTCCCATAAACCTAAAAAAGGTTGGCATAATTAGGAGCAAAACAAGCCCCCAAAGCAGTACCTCGATCTTGAATGTACAATTGGCCTTGGAAAAGAAACACATTGTTTTTCATAGTCCATTCTGTAAGTTGAAGAATAGGGTCATTCCGTGTCAACTCAACCAGAGCCCCCCACATCAAAATTTTGATTTTGATAAAACTTTGCACATTTCAAGAGATATGCATAGGCAGTACTGAGGTCAAATATTTCAGCTCAATTATTGCTAGTTCCTGAAATTTAGCCTATTTTAGGGAAGGGGGGGGTCAATTTTAACAAAATCGCCTTAATTTTGGAGGGAGTTTGAGGGCCTCAGAAATGGATTTTCAGAGCTGACAGACCCACAAGTTTAATTTTGTCATCAGAATAGTTGCTGAACTTTTGGCTTAGGCTACTTTTCTTTACTCACTGGGTTTAGTTTATCTGTACTGTGGCCTGGAAAAAGCAAAAAACACCAATCATACTAATTTTTCAAAATGTAATGCATTTATTGTTCTGTAACTAATGAAGATAAAGCCCTGAGACTTGGTAAGCAAACTGTTGGTCAACTTTCTGAAGACCAAGTGTATGTTTTCACCGGCTTTGGTTGGTTTGTTTGTTCGGTTGTGTCTGTCCGTCTGTCTGTTAGCAGGATATCTCAAAAACGGCCGCACAGATTTTAGCCAAACTTTGCTGGATGTTAGAATAGCACAAGAGGAACAAGTGCTTAAATTTGGGCATATCTAGGCCAAAGCACAGCTGAGATATAGGCCAAAGTTCAAATCCAGCTATGCTGGCAGAGATTTCAAGTCTTTCCAATGGGCCGTGCTTTTGGGTTTTGCTGCCACCTGGCCGTGGAATGCAACAATACCCTACATCAGCCAATGATAATCACCTTATATGACTGGCATGCTGTACAGTCTAAAGGAAGAGTTTTCCATCTCCAGTTTTTTAATATGTTAGACCAAAGACCCATGCCTTCAAGCACTAAAATATGACATTGATCACTTGTGTCCCTTTTGAGATATATACCCACTATAATGACCCAAAATACACACTTTTCATTCTGAAGCAAACTTCCAAGGTTATTAAAACATTTAATACCATCATTGTGTCTTTGAAATTTTTTTTGGTCTTCAGAAAGTTGACCGACAGGTTGCATACCAAGTCTCAGGGCTCTATCTTAATAGTTACAGAATAATAAATGCATTAAATTTGGAAAAAATGAGTATGATTGGTGTTTTTTGCTTTTTCCAGGCCATAGTACAGGTAAACTAAACACACTGAGTAAAGAACAGTATCTTAAGCCAAGAGTTCAGCAACTATTCTGATGACAAAATGAAACTTATGGGTCTGTTTGCTCTGCAAATGCGTATCTCAGGCCCTCAAACTTACTCCAAAATGATGGCAATTTTCTTAAAACTGACCCCCCCCAAAAGAAGCCAAATCTCAGGAACTGGCAATAATTGAGCTTAATTATTTCACCATTTCACACCAGATATATAAATCTTCCATTGTGGGGAATATAATAAAAATTTACATTTTTTTTGGTGGGGAAGTTCCTAAAATTTGGTTGATTTGACATGGAATGACCCAATAAACTCAGAAGGAGGCAAAGAATTTGTGGGCCTGTTCTGTAGGAAGTAATTATAAGGCTTTCAGTCCATCATGATGATCAATGTTTGTGTATGAAGACTCCATGTCCAAAGTCACAGGGGTTCAGCAGGAATTGTCATGTCATGTAGAACCTTCAGAACGTGAGTCGTGTCCTGAATGTACGAAGGCAGTTGTTGAGCCAAGGGCTTGATATAAA